AAAAAACAAAAAACACACTCACTGCCATGGAGTCAATTCTGACTCATAGCGACCCTATAGATGAAAAATCTATTCAGTCAGAAAGAGGAGCACAGAGCACAATTATTTCTGGTGTTTTGACCAGCAAATGGAAAGTAAGCTTAGAGGTATCACTTGGGACAGCCACTTTCCCTCTGAGCATTCGCTCAACAATAGTATATTGAGTTGAGTGCAGCCTCTTCAGTCATATATGGATTTGAATCCCATCTTCTAATTATGTGAACTCAGATACATATTTTACCCCTCTAAATATAATGTTTTCTTTCTAAGCTTTGCCAATCATTAAATTAATGCAAAATATTTAACAGAAAGTCTGACACAAGTCCACAGTTACTTAACACTGCTTAGCTGTAACCAGCACAGTAGCATTCAAACATTCTCAGAATAAGTAGATACCCACTTGTCCCAGAAAGTAGGCAACGCAAGGATAAACAAGAAAGAACATTAAACCTTGGTGTTCTTTATTTACCAGAAATCCCTCGGACTCACCAGGAGTATGAAAGCAGTCTTACCTTGAAAATGTTCTTATTTCAGTTTGTAAATTATTACTCGTCCATCTTCTACGTGGCTTTCTTTAAAGGGAAGTTTGTGGGCTATCCAGGAAAATACACATATATGTTTAACACTTGGAGAAGTGAAGAGGTAAGAATTTTCTTGATAGCTGGGATTTGTGGCTTCAGTGACTCAGTATGTAATAAGACCTTTCTGTGTGCTGAGTCCTATCCCAGATATTAACAAGATGCAAGTCTAAGACAATGCTGTCTACAGAAAATAAAGGTCTTACAATCTTGCCATTTGATAGGCTTCCCAGTGCCTTTTGAACAGGAAGTTATATTGTCCCCATTGTTTGATAGCAAAGTACGAGTTGTGGAAGGTATGAGTCCGTTACTGGGAATCCCCACAAAGGTTGAATGATTACTTATTGGGAACAAAGTAAATAGGATATAACCGTGGGGTGTAGAGTTGAACCATATTTATTGTTAGGTGTCATTGAGTCAGTACTGACTCATAGCGACCCTATGCACAGTATTGCTAGTTTCCAAATCTGGCTGTGCATCCATATCACATGGAAAAAATACCAACTCCTACACCTAAGCTAGATATAAGATTCTGTTTTTTCTAAGATGAAGATCCAGAAATCTATGTTTTGAATACGGTACCCAATTGAATCTAGTACATTTAGTCTGGCCTTGGTCCATGATCATGTTTGAATCTACTATATATATAATTTTAAAGCCTTTCTAAATAAAACGTGAGACTCGACCTTCTGGATTGGGATTTACTTTAGTTGTTGCTATTGTTCATCTTTCATCACTCCTTTTTCTTGCTTCTGATTAGTGTGATCCTGCAGGCTGTCTAATAGAATTAACAACACAGCTGACCATCATAATGATTGGGAAACAGATATTTGGAAACATTAAAGAAGCCATTTATCCGTAAGTATGAATTACGAGGTTTTTGTGTCATTCAGGTACCATTGGAAGATTTCCTCCTGAAGAAGATAGACTTCTTTAGTTACCATGGTGCCTTTCCAGCAAATGCTTTTGTTGTTTTTTGTTGTTAGGTGCCATCGAGTTGGTTCCAACTCATCATGACTCTATACACAACAAACAAAACACTGCTTAGCCCTGTGCCATCCTCAAAATTGTTATATTTGGGCTTATTACTGCTGCCACTGTGCCAGTCCATCTCATTGGAGGTCTTCCTCTCTTTTCCTGACCCTCCACTTTACCAAACATGATGTCCTTCTCCAGAAACTGGTTCCTCCTGACATGTCCAAAGTGTCACCACCTCACTTCTAAGGAACATCTGACTGTACTTCTTCCAAGACAGATTTGTTTGTTTTGGCAGTCCATATTTTCAATATTCTCCACACTATATTGAAATGCATCAATTCTTCTATGAGCTTCCTAATTCATTGTCCAACTTTAACATGTGTATGAGACAATTGAAAATACCATGGTTGGGTCAGGTGCACCTTTGTCTTAAAAAAAAGACATGTTTTCTCTTTAACATGTTAAAGAGGTCTTTCCAGCAGATTGGCCTAATGCAACACATCATTCGATTTCTTGT